TAACCACGACAGTGTGGCAAATTTCTATTGTTAAAAAATCATGTCACATGTGTTTCCCGGCCATCCACGGCACGACACGTGGCATTTTGTTTAATATGTAATAATATTATTAAGCAAAAAATTATACTCTAAAAAACATGCAACAAAAATAAATAAAAATAAGCATGGGTTTGTCGACCCCCCTAGTCACGTGTCTGATGAATTTTGATGTCCCTAGTGGCTAGATGCCAGTAGGGGTCTCCCCTCCATGCCATAACATTTTTTCCTATTTTCTACTGTTCACATTATTATTGTTTTCATTATTATTTTTCAATTTTTTTTTGTTACACTTTTTTTTTTTAATTACCATCAATTTTATTTATTTTAAGGTCTAGTTTAGTTGGATTTTATTATGAAATTGTGTATTTTTTTTTCTTTAGGTGTCAGGAATTGAACTAGTGACATTGACTCTGATATCACTATTAGAACCTCAGACCCAAGACTGGCATCGGGCCATGTGAGCCGTGCTTGAGTCGGCTCAAGCTCACATACCATTACACATCGTTATTATAGACTCAAGCTTACATATCATCGGGCCTCATTAGAATAGACTCAAGCTCGGCTCATGTATTTTTTCGGGTTTCAGGTTTGTATCGGGCCCCATTACTATATAATTGTAATGAGTAATTTTTTTTTATAAAAATAAGTGATGAACAAGATTTACCTCCATTGAAGCTAATAAAAAAAAAAACCATAAACGATCATTGAAAGTTATTGGAAAAACATGAAAATAAAACCGAAAGAAGCAAACAAAAAAAAAAGATTAGTAACTCTTATTATTGAAAACATTTTATATTTTCAAATCTCGGTGAGATGTTGCATTTGATTTATATTTAACTTATTGCCACCGTCATTACTTAATTCCTTTTATTTTGACTTTTTTCTTCGCAAAATCAAATAATCTTCATAACTTGTATGTTGAGTCATAGTATTAAAATAATAAATATATTATATATTTTAGTATTATCCTAATCGGTCGGGCCTTATTCGGGTTGAGCCATAGTAGGCTCAAACTCGGCTTGTAAATAAATCGGGTTTAATAAAATAGATCAAACTCGACCCGGCTCACTAAAAAGTAGGCTCGGCTCAAATATAATCGGGCCGAGCCATCGGGCTTCGGTTAGGCCCGGCTCAATTGCCGGTCCTACAGACGATACCAATTGTCCTACAATCCATTCGTGGCATTAAATACGCAAATATTCTTAGCATTATAGCATATTTAGCACAGACAAGCGTCTACGGCATTCGATTGTGGATTGCCCATACACAAGCCTCCACACATGGACAATTGTTGTCAAAAGTAGGCTAACAAAAGGAAAACTATATAGTATGGAATTGTGTATGATGATGCTAGAGTTAGATCACCTTATATAGTTGAAGTAGGATGAGCTGGAAGAGTAAAGTGGATCACTGACTCACGAGCTTGATGACCTTAAGATACCTGCGATCATAAAACACGTAAACTAAGTCAGGCGGAAACCCCTCCTACACTCAAGTCAGGTGTGTGGATAGCAAAAATCGTAGATAGAATACGAGCAGTTAAATAGTTCGAATATTGAACGTACCTTAACAAATGAATTGTCATCTTTATTAATTCGAGATGGTTAGGTTGAAGTTACTTGATTGTACTTGTCCGGTCCAAACCTTATTTAAAGATGATTGAGTCTCAATTATAATTATCTTCAATATTGGACTCGTGACCCAATAAATAAAGAAATTATAGGTCCATTGAATTGGGCGAGCAAATAAGCGTATTAGACCTCTAGCTAAGTTTAATTATCCTAGTAAACAATGATAGGAGTGATAATATCATATTTTGACTAATAATTTTATTTTCATAACATTCAAACTGAAGCGTATGTAGATTAATTTTATTTAATTTAATATTAAGACGTCCCACCAGATCAAATCTTGTCCTGCCATCAATTATTGAATAACATTACATTAATCATTACTTTCTAATTTGTACAATTGTTGATAACGATTCTATTAGAATAGAATTTTTTTTTTCTAATTTGTGATGATTACTAATAAGTATACAATTACAGTAAGTGGATAAAATTGTATCATCATTTGATGTCATATTCGTAAATCTATATACTGTATAAATAATAAAGATTGGCAGACAAAAAATCTTATAAAATGATTAATATTAAATACTTACAGTTACTTGAGATTTTTTAGCAAATAATTATCTTATTAAATTTTTATAATACTGAATGAATAAAAAAGGGGGGGTTGAACAAGAAATGTCTAAATGTAATTTTGATGACATCCTGATTGATTTGTGAAACCGAATATTCAAATTAATCCAAAACACTAAAAAACAATTAAAAAATAAAACTGAAATAATCAATGTACCAACATAATACTGTAATAGAAGTCACTAATGTTCAGAGGTCCTAATCAATTATTGAAGACGAAAGCAGACATTGAAAGAACTTATCAAACTTACTTAATTAAATAACATTTGTACAGTGGACATTTTAGAAGAAACTAGTTTTTTTTTTTTTTTTCATATATAATATATTTTTCATATTTTATGTAATAAAACGACACAATGCTGGTAGGGATGGCAACGGGGCGGGTTTTTTGCTATTCGGGTCGGGGATCCGTTGGACGGGTCAAGTTGCCTGGTGAATATTGATAAAATTGAAACGATATTTAACACATGATAATAATTTTAAATATATTATATAAAAAATAAAGTATTTGGGTATAAAATTGAGGCTCGAATTATAGAGAAATGAAATAGTTTATTTGATTTAAAGGGTTGAAGAAGCCCAAATAATAATAATAATAATAATAATAATAATAATATTGTGGTAGTAGAGCATTGCCTAATATGCTGGGCCTGGTCAAGGGGACCATAGTAATTAATAAAAATTCAAAAAAATGGGGACATAATAATTGATGAACAGTTATTTTCGGTTTCTGCATGTTCTCTTATTATATCACATGATTCGCTATTTTTTCGTTTAAGTACTAATTCACTATCCTATTTTGTCTCAAGTGGGTCCAACTCCTACAACTAATTATATACATTTATTTTAATGGTATTTAATCTTAAAACAATATTCAGCTTGTTGGGCTTTAATTCATATTGGATTGGGCTATACAAAATTGAAGAAAGCCCATATGTAAGTGACCATATTAATCGTTTTATGGGCTAACTTTATTATTGCCTTTTTTTTCTTTAATTGCAAAACTAGTGTTCATTTGTTTAATAATTTAATCCAAATATTTTATTTAACAAAAAAATTAGATTTCACATTTATGTTACACATATAAATTCCATTAATACAGTGACTATTACTAATCAAAAAAATAATTATTATAATTATTATTATTTTTTGGAACGTGATACATGATCATTAACAACGAGCCCCACAGTTTAGCCCAAACAATAATTTATCGTGTCAACTTTTCTTTGGCCCAACCCAACTTTTCAGTTGTCACGTGCTCCTCACGTGAATATAACTTCCACCAAAAAATACACTGCCTTTTGGTACTCCATTAATAATAATAATAATAATAATACTAATAATAATAATAATAATAATAATAATAATAATAATAATAATAATAATAATAATAATAATAATAATAATAATAATAATAATAATAATAATAAATAAATAAATAAATATTGCCCATCTATCATCCATCACCAGTTTTTTAGATGCTACACCTGGTGTAGTATACGGGGTAATTATTAACCGTTGATATCATGAAATAACTTTCAACTAAACACATATACACATTGGTGTATGTAATTATATGCATATCAACTTATAATCAGCCGGTATATTTCACTGGGTGTAACATAAAACAAAACCATCACCATCACATAACATATATTTATTTAATTTAATGGGAAGATAGAGGGCCAAATCCAGAGGGGTTGTTTGGCAGTAATGTTATGCCACCCAACTTTTCACATTTTAACCACGTGAACTGTCTCTATCCTCGTGTGCGAACATATTATTAGGCCTTGTTTGGGAGTAACGGATTTTTTTTGTATTGTCTCCGTAAACTAGTACTTCAGCCGTGACGATTCTATTAAATTGCTAGTAACATTAGTCACCTCATTCCGACTTGATGCTACATTACTCTTAACGCTCGACATTATATCGTATAATTAAACATGCTACGTCTAATTCTAATATTAATACTGATGCAAATATTTGTATCGAAATTTAAATTTATAAAGAAAAAATAAACAATGAATTTACTTTCATGTGAAGAGAAGGGCATTGGGACCCAATTATCTCTCTTTAGATCTGTGAAAATCCAAATCTCTCTTCTGATTAAATATTGTGGGCCAATAGGCCCCTAGTTTTGGCCCCTCTTAATTTCCAGCCCAATTTTCCATTGTTGCAGAACTTCTTCTTTTGCTTTTTCCCCCCTCTTTTAACTTTCAATAGCAAATAAGTCCATATTTAACTTTAAAAAGAACTGCTTAGTTGTCGTCTTCCGATTGGTGGCCTTTATTTTTCTTTGTATGACAACACAAGTACGCACATGTTAGGGTATCCTACTTTTTAGATGAATGCAGTTACTAATGTCACTTGGAGGCTGTCACCATTGTCTGCTGCTTTTACAAATAATTGTACACTTTTTCTCTCTCTAAATTTAGTTATCATATTGATCTAAACCCATGTTTTGACTAAAATGGTAAATTCGATTTTTTTTTTATTTTTTTAATTTATATTTTATTAATATTAATATTAAGAGAAAAAAAATAAAGAGAATCTTTACTTGAGACCCTCCATGATACATTTTGGATATGATGATTAACTGGCCATGTTTTTGCCTTTTTTAAAAAATATTTATTGAATTAAATAAATAATTAAAAGCACATGGGCCAAATGAATGTGTTCTCCAATATATCCTATAGTTTTTATGTCGGCCTCAAAGATTAAATAAAGAGTGTATAATAATTCAATAAATAAATAGAATAAAAAGAAAATGAGCAAAGCAAGCACATGTGATGTGAAAATCAATGGATAATTCATAATTCAGCAACAAAAAAGAGAAACAGAAGATCATGCATCAAAGTTAATTATTACAACATTAATTTTAGTGCAGAAAATCGTCACTAGGGATAAAGTTGTCTTTTCACATACCAAATATCTACAACTATCACCATCATCATCATCATACCATTAAAAAAAACAAACCAAAAAAAAGAAAAAAGAAAAAAAGGTTAATAACCACTTTTTTTCATATGCGGTGGTGCTGTAGTTGCAACAGCTTCGAATAAGCACTTTCCGGCCGGCCAATCAGCTCATTATGACTGCCTTGTTCGACAATCCGCCCATCTTGAACCACGCCGATGCTGTGGACCCCACGTATGGTCGACAGGCGGTGGGCCACGAGCACCGTGGTCCGCCCTCTCATGAGGCGCTCGAGCGCCTCCTGCAGAACGCACTCCGACTCTGCATCGAGCGCGCTCGTGGCCTCGTCCAGCAAGAGAATGGACGGGTCCTTTAGTACTGCCCGTGCGATCGCGATCCTCTGCTTCTGCCCGCCGGAGAGCTGCACCCCTCTCTCTCCTACGGGGGTTTTGTACCCCTCTGGCAAGCCGCTCACGAAGGTGTGCACGTTCGCTGCCCGCGCTGCCTCGATCACCTCCGCCTCGGTGGCGGCACCGTCTTTCCCGTATGCAATATTCTCGAAGATACTGGCGGCAAAGAGCGCCGGCTCCTGTTGGACCAATCCGATCCTCCGGCGGAGCGATTTTAGGTTTAGCCTCCGGATATCTTTCCCGTCCACCATAACTTTCCCGGATAACGGGTCGTAGAATCTTTCTATTAATGCAATTACAGAGCTCTTACCCGACCCGCTTGCCCCGACTAGGGCTTGGCTATGGCCCGCCCGGATTCTCAGACTGAAGTCCTTGAACACCATCACGTCAGGACGAGACGGGTACGCAAAGTCCACGTGGCGTAGCTCGATCTCGCCGCGGATCGACTCGACGGTCTCCGCCTCGGTGTCGTCCGGGTCGATCCGTGTGGGCCTATCCAGGATCGAGAAAACCGACCCGACCGCTTCGCCGCCCCGGATGATCTCCGGGGCGAGGCTGACGGTTTCCGCGACGGAGTTGGCGGTGATGACTAGGACGACAAAGACCTTGATGACCTTGGAGAAGGTGGAGACCCCTTTGCTAACGAGGTGGGACCCGTACCAGAGGATTAGTGCTTCGGAGGCGTAGAGAGCGAGCTGCGAGAGGCCGAAGAGTAGGCCGGAGCATTGGCTGCGGCGGAGGCTTTGCTTCTGCGGCAAACGGAGCTCGTTGGAGAATAAAGATAGAATCTTTTCTTGCGCGCTGAATGCCGCCACAGTTCGGATGTTGCTCACTCCTTCTCCGGCGATCATGCTCGTTTTTGCGTGGGCTTTGGCGGTGTCTCCTGCGAACCCTTTGAGAGATAGTTGCTGCGAAATCAAAGTAATGTTTAGTGCGATAATCGAAATGATTAATTAACATTTGATTATAATTAACAGATTGATTAAAGATTGTATTTTTATTTATATTTTGGTCACGGGATGAGAGAATCTATCTCTGGCATGAAATAATATCTAGTGGGAATGGAAGATGGTGGTTGTCTTTCAAGAATCAATCAAACCCCATGCCAACAATATTCAAACAATTAACATGCGCCACAGAAAAGAAAATAAAATTCAGACACAGAAAAAACTGACGCACACTGCTATTTCTCAGTGTCAGCAAACTGAATGAATGCCTTTTACAGTACACAGTACAGTTAAAAAGGTAATAGTAAAAAATGGGGTGGCATCAAGAATTTTGTTAGGGGGGGTAAAAGTAAAAAACATAAACCCCACATGTAATAAGATAACCTGCACACTTCTCAGTGCCCCCCCTTGAACTTGCTGAACAATAATAGAATTTTTACACACACCATACTTTTTATTTATTTTAATTTATTTACTATTTGTGTGTGAGTTTCAAGAAGTCATGAATCAGAGTTAAAGGAAGGAAGCACGTGAGGAGCAACTATGTTGTGTATTCACACTCTTTGTCTTCTAGTGCCAAGAAAGATGTGAAACTTGAAATTACCAAAAACACCCTTAATTGAAGTTTGATTTACCTGAGCAAAGTTTGCTAGGACAAGAAGAGGAAATGTAGCAAGTATGAGCAGTGAAACCCTCCATTCAACGATGAATGCAACTATGAACGAAGTGAGTAGAGAAGTCATGTTCTGTAATATCACCGAAATCCTCTCTGCGATAGCCGATTTTACGTCCGCTGCATCGGTAGCTAAACGGTTTGCGAGTAGGCTCGAATTGTTCTCCTCCTCGTCGAACCACCCCACTTCATTCCTCAAAATCGCTGAAAAAAACAAAATCGACGTTATAAAAATAAATTCGTATGATCTTTATATTAAAAATTCAATCTTTGTAACCGAAAAATTCACCTGCAAGCATCATTCTCCTAACTCTTGTAGTGAGATTCTCTCCCATTATACTGAAGAAGTAGTGCTGAATAAGATACGCGATAACGGCATAAATACCCGCTCCGATATATATGAAGACGTATTCCTTCGTTTTCCTTTCCATGTCAGCAGGGTTCTGGTAATAGAAAACCTCAATCATATTACTCATCACAATAGCAAATGTGGGGCCGATGAATCCGGAAAGAACGGACCCCACAGCTCCCATAATCGAATAAGGCCACTCGGGCGCATTCAGTGTAAGAAGCCTGCAGAAGTATCCGGACGGTGCTGGATTTTTCCGCTCCGTTTCGGCATTGGACACCATCTCTATCCTACCGTCTGCACCCGTGCTGTAAGAATAGCTCAGGTTCCTTAAACTCCCAGAACGGAGGCTGAGTGATTTCGTGGATAGAGAATGACTCAGCCTCGAAGATCTTGTTCTTCGAGTCGAAGGGTTCGAGAAATCTCTGTTCCCCACCATTTCTTGAAATCTGATTAGATTAGCATAAGCAGCGGCTTTGGCGATTAATTCTTCGTGGGTCCCGGTTTCGACAACCTGCCCTTGTTGTATAACCGCAATCGAGTCGACGTTTCTTATTGTTGATAATCGGTGGGCCACCACTACTGTAGTTCTCCCAATCATCAAACGGTCCAAAGCCTCTTGCACAATGCTCTCCGAGCCTGCATCTAATGCACTAGTTGCTTCGTCGAGAAGAAGAATTTTCGGGTCTTTTAGCATTGCCCTCGCGATAGCTATTCTTTGCTTTTGGCCGCCAGATAACTGTACCCCACGTTCTCCGACCTGGATTTCGAATAAAAAAAAAAGATTGAATTGTTAGCAAGAAAGTTATAATTTTTTAAGTTGAGAATTGACGAAGGAATGAAAGAAATGAAAAAACGAACTTGGGTGTTGTATCCATTAGGAAGCAAGGTGATGAAGCTGTGAGCATTAGCAGCAGAGGAGGCAGCTTCGACTTCGGACATGGTTGCGTCCGGTTTTCCGTAAAGAATATTCTCGAGAATCGTTGTGGCGAAGAGGGCGGGTTCTTGATTTACCAATCCCATTTGACTGCGCAGCCACCTCAGCTGGAGCGTTTTGATGTCCACATTGTCGAGCAAAATCTCCCCTGTCCAAATTTGAACATTTTTAGTTAGATTCATATCAGAGCAAACTAAAGAAAGAATCTTTTTTTAGTTTATTATCATTAAATTATTATTAAACATTTACCCTGATTAGGATCGTAAAATCTTTCTATCAAGGAGACAACGGTGCTTTTGCCGGAACCGCTGCCGCCGACTACCGCCACAGTTTTTCCGGCGGGGAAGAAAATGGAGAAGTCTCTGAAGATGATGACATCAGGCCTCGATGGGTAGCTGAAAGTTACGTTCTTGAACTCGATATTCCCGTTGACTTCGGTCAAACACTTGGAGTCTAAATCATCTTGGACTATCGTTGGTTTTTGCTTAATTATTTCCATTAATTTGAATCCAGCTGCTTTGCCTTTGCTGAACGCACCGAGATTCGAAAATGACTGGCCCAAACTCCTGTAGGAATTAAACCATCAGAACCCTCGATTTTTTCCGCCTCGTCTATTGGCTAATCATTTAAGAAGAAAAAAATAAAATAAAGTAGCATTTAATCTTACATGCCACCAACAATGGCGGAGAAAATGGCGGTGAATGCCTTGCCGCCATCTGTCTGTCCGTTTCTGATGAAAACACCCGCATACCAGAAAACGAGGGCCCACGACATGCATGCTATGCCGTAAGTACATCCTAAACCAAGACCTTTAGCCATTCCAGCCTTGTATCCTAGCTTTAGTGTGTTCTGTATTAAATCCGAATACGCACCGAGGGTTTTTGTTTCTCCGACATACGAGTATACTGTCCTAACTTGTGCAATCGACTGACAAAAAAGAAAGTAAAATTATATTTTCGACTAGTATTTTCATAATTAAAAAGTCGCGCAACTAACTCTAAATCAAGATTCGTAAAAGGGTAACTAAATCGTGATTTAGAAAGAGCAAATTAAAAGTAATAATTTTGCTCACCTGCTCGGCAATTATACCGGCATTAGCGTACGATTCACGGCTCTTTGAAGTGAGTCCGGTGAGGGTATAAGCGTATAAACCACCGGCAAAGGCGATCCCAGGAATCACAGCCACACTCAGGAGGGCTAGCCTCCATGCCGACACAAAACCGACCACCAATCCGGCCAAGAAAGTCGATAGATAATGAATGAAATTACCAACCTAGACATATCCAACCACCAAAACAACACATTCAAGAAAATTTCAATTTAAAACCAAACCCCACAAGTTATTTATGCTAAGATGAACCAGACAGGATATCAATGTACTTTCGATTTAATACTAAACTACACCGTTTTTTTTTACCGTTAGAAAACAACAGTAAATGTTCACACTGGGTATTCAATGTGTGTGTGTGTGTGTGTGTGTGAGAGAGAGAGAGAGAGAGAGAGAGAGAGAGAGAGAGAGAGAGAGAGAGAGAGAGAGAGAGAGAGAGAGAGAGAGAGAGAGAGAGAGAACCTTCTCACTGATGGCATCTTGAACAAGGAGAGTATCAGTGGAGACGCTGAAAACAATATCCCCAGTTCTTGCATCTGTGTCAAAGAAACCAACGTCTTGTTTCAATACGGCCTCCAAATATTTCTTCCTCAACGTACCAACTTGTCTCTCTCCGGTGTACATCCAACATGCAATCTCTGTTTTTTCATAATGAAAAACAAATGGGGATGTAATAAAAACATTAAATTCTCAAGTATCAGGCGGTGATGGAGATACGTGATGGGGGGGTATATTAATTAATTAATTAATTATTATAAAAAATAGGGGAAAAAATATTTTCAAGAAATCGACAGGTGAAGAGGATCAGGACAAAGAGACGGACCATGGACCACGTGCAACTGATCCATAATGAACTGGCTTAATCACAGTGTGTATGTGTAATGAAATAAAAATTGAATCTTTATCACAATTACTACAAAAGGACAATTACTTTACTAAAATAACCCAAGAAAAAAAAAACCCACCTGCGTAAGATGAAAAGCATACGACCAGTCCAAGGTAGACGAAATACAGAGCATACTGCATCAACAAAAAAAAAAATTGAAATGTTTAGATCTGATTAAATAAAGTCGTTACGGATGGGTAAACGATTTCAAGAAAAGCAAGAATTGAAGAAAAAAAAACAAACCTTGGCAACTTCATTTGTCATCTTGTGCAAATCCATTTGGTTTTTACCAAAGCCATTGACCATTTCACCAAAGAGCAGAAAGAAAACCGGCATTGAAGAGCCGTGAATAATGGCGCCGAGGCTGCCGGTTGTCATCAATATTAAATCATATTTATCAGCAAATGAAAACAGCTGATAGAATGGTAGGCTCTGTTCTTTCTTCTTCTCCGGCGACTCCGGCATTGCTTTCCCGTCGGCCGCCTCCGCCATTTCTTCCGACCAAAAAAAATGGAGTCTTTCAAAAAAAAAAAACAGAGTAGCAGCTAATTGCTAGCTAGGAATCAATCACAATCGAAGAACCCACTTCAAATTAGAGGGTGAAATGCGAAGTAGTGATTAGAAACTAGTGGTGCATGATCGTATTTTGAAGTGGGGTTTTCGGTTTTTTCACGAAATGGTAGGAAGAATCTTGAAGAACATGAGATCTAAGAAATAAGAGTATTATATTCTGATGAGCTCATAGCTGTAGATATATCAACGGTCAGTGAGTTGACACTGAACTGTGCTCATTAATGTGTGTGTGTGTGTGTGTGAGAGAGAGAGAGAGAGAGAGAGAGAGAGAGAGGGAGAGAGAAATTAGATAGACTTTAAATTGTTTTTGAGTTTGCCGGAAAGAGAAAATGTATCGGTGAGACTGGTGGTCAAACGAGGTGGAGAGAGAAGAGAGGGGGGTGTGTGTGTAGAAGAAAAGAGTGTGTGTCTGTGTGTAGTGAGGTTAAGTTTACTTATAGAAGAGAGAAGGTGGGGTTGAGTTATTACTTATTGTAGTTATTTACAACTAAACCAGGGTTAGTAAAAAGGGTCTTGTCCAGGTTAAAGGGAATCTTGCCCCATAATCTCTCTCTCCTCTCTCTCCTCTCTCTCTCTCTCTCTCATCTCAGTTCTGCAAGCTTAAAGCTTTGATATATGTGAAAATATTTAATATTATTTTATTATATACTGTCAATTTCTTAATTAAATCTCTCTGGGCGTTTTCAATTTTAAGAAATATAAATGGAATTTTTTTGGGGGAGGAGAAAAGGCAAGTCTTTGATTTATTTATTGGGCAAAATTGAAAATACTACTGTAAATTTTGTTTTATTCAATTAATTTAGGGTTTTAGTGTGTTTTCAAGATTCATTTTTTAATGGTCTTTATCCATTAAAAAGAATAAGAGAAGATGAGGAAATAGTGATTTTACTAAAGAGGGGTAGATGAATTATTAGTTGGGGGATGGGTGAAAACAGAAAGAACCCTAATTTTTTAATTTTGACTGACTGCAAGGAACTTTTGTTCTGTGTGATTTTTAATTGCTACTATAGTAGATAAAGAAACAAAATAAATAGCATGGAAGAGCATCCCCATAAGGATGTATTATAGTATTAATTCCTATTTGGAAAAAAATAAATAATAAATAAAATAAAGAAAAGCTAAACTCCAAGTAGAACCACTATACCAAAGAATCGCATTGAAATAAGCAACCTCACTAGTTATATATATCTTGCTTTTCGTATAGCTATGCTACATATATTTTATTACTCGTTTTATGTCACAAGCTGATTTAGCCCAAATGGTTCAATTGGATTATAATGGGCTTGAATTAAAGAAAACCTACATAAGAAATCCACGTGCTCCAAGGAGACCGGCAAAAAAGAAGTATTGGAAAATGTATTTTGCGTTATCAGCACTCTAACGGTCAAGTCATTTGGAATTGTGAATTTATACTACAGTATATGAGTATATCGAAAGTAAGTTTGTATGTCGGAATACCAGAGACAAACTTCCCTTATATACTCTTCCCCTAATCTATCTATGGTCAGATCACACATGGGAGTGACGTGATTACTTCAGGTTGTGCTTGTCCGATGCAGGCGATATGTTTTGTTTGTTGCGAGTTGTGCCTAGTTCAATAGGGAAAGCATGTACGAGTGATCTTTCTTTTCGAGATGTAGGTGAACATTCCCTCATTCTATGTCATGTTGTAAGCTCACCGCATTTTTTTGTCATTGTGTCGAATATAGTCATACCCACTACATATGGTTACCCTACATAGGACCCGTAAAAAAGATGAGAGTGAGTCCGAACTTTATTTATAAAATAAAATTCTTATTACATGTACCTGTAGATCAATCGAGCCCATTCACAAATGAACTCATATTAGCTTAAAATCAAGTGTTGGAAAAAGAATTGTTAGACCTATCATGGGGGTCAATTTTGTAATTCTCTAAATATAAGAAAACTATAAAAAAAAAACCTAGAACAAAAATCTAATATAAGATTTCTACTTCATGTTATTTTTAGTGTACTGTGGACTTAAAATATAAAATTTAATATCTTATTATTATTATATTTTTTGAGTAAAATATAAAATTTAATAATTTATATTATTATTATCATTATTATATATATATATATATATATAATATGATAAAATATATATATCATGCACAATATGTGAGCCCAGTTCCGTTATGGGCTACAGAGAAAAGCTGGTGAAAGATAAATGCGATTTTGGACTTTATATTTTTTTCATTTTCAAATGGGTCCTCATATTTATTGCATCCAATATTAATTACATATTTTATTTTCCGTACAAAATCAGGTCATACTCGTAATTTCAATCAAAAGCTAAACTTAGGTTAAGGCTATATTATATTATTATTCCATCTCCTTTTAAGATTTATAATTATTTTGAGGAAATATATTGATAATTAAAAATATTATATGTCGTCATTTCAACTTTACTAACGCGGTTTTGACTCCAGAATTGATTTAACCGTTTTTTACTTCGGACTTGATTTGGAGTATTCATGTGGTCATTGTACAAATAAAAAAACATTATATTATATAAGGAAAAAAAATTCAAAAAAAAAAAAAGTGGAGATAATTATATGAATTTTAGAATCGAATAATGACAATATAAATACTCCAAAAATGTTTTGCTAATGTCCATTATATTATAGTCCCAGTAGTAAAATCACAGTAAAGAATTGACTCAACAAAATTTAATTAGTTAAAAACCTGAAAATAAATGATGCATATATCACATTCGTTGATTACGATATCTCATGTAAGAGAGGGCCTTTCGTTTTCTCAATAATTTTCCGACCAACAGTTTTCTCTGTTGACAGTTTTTCGGATTGATCGAATATGCCAAATCAGATCATGTTAGAGGTGAAAAATAATTAAAACTAAAATAAAATGGAAAAAAAGAGCAAATAATAATGAATTAATTATGCCATGCAGAAATTAGTGCATGAAAAGAACTTGGCATGTTTGGATTAGGTGAGCTGCAAATATCATACCAAACATTTTTCTCTCACTTCCACAATCTCTTTAATCCACCTATATATATCTTCTTTATATCTATGTTTGTGTGTGTGTCTATATATGTGTGTAATTAACATGTATGTATATATATTGAGAGAGAGAGAGAGAGAGAGAGAGAGAGAGAGAGAGAGAGAACAATACATGTGCTTAAAGGAGAATTAAAGAGAAACTTTGGTTAGGCCCCTTAGCTAGGCTATGTCAAATCATGGTTGCAATTGCTTTATTTCTTCATCAATTTCATCACCACTTGTGAAGAATTCTTAATCCACTTATTCCTCCTTTGATAATTCTTAATCTGCAATGTTAAACCTCGTTTCAACTTTACTAATACAATTTTGACGTTGAAGTTGTAGTCCTTTGAATTAATTTTCTAATTCAAATTGAATCCATTGGATTTGGATATCGAGTGACGACGAAATTATGCATGAATGAGTTATATTTTGAATATTAGATAACTCGATCAAAACATCTAAATTTTGGGCAGTGTTCATTGATCCATGCATATATTTATCACCATATATGCATGCATCCAATCTTAGTGGTTTAAGTTAGATTAAAAGAATCAACTCAAAGAATTACGAACTTATTGTTTTGAGTTTTGTCGAATTCATACTCGATAATGGTCAAAATCAAATTTAAATTTATTCCACATTTAGACCACTCAAAACATTCATCACCAAAATAATAATACAACTAATTTCTTAATTTCTGCTCCAATGTGTGGGTATTTGTGTCCAGCTCTTGACCAGCATTGCATGGCCACATTTTCAGACCAATTAATTATACGTTAATTAACCTAATTAGATTCTCAATTAGATTCTCGATACGAAAGAGGTACATAATTTAGATATTATGGCCCTGACAAAAGTGCCCAAATTAAAGAAAATATTCGGAGAAAATGAAAAAAAAAAGGAATTAATAGCATGGTCCAAATTCTTTTTAACCTAGAGGCCATAGGGTAATATATATATAGGCTAGCATCTTCTCTTGTGAATTAAATTAATAATAATCTTAACTTAAAGTCTAATACCATGCATAATCAGAAATTACTATATGATTATGGCAGATGTTTC